TCTTGGGAGTCTCTTGGAGGCCTCTTGGGCGCCTCTTGGGGCGTGTTGGGGCTCTCTTGGGGCGCTCTTGGGAGCCTTCGGGCCGCTTTTTGGGCCATCTTGGACGAGATCTATCAAAGAAGGGGGGGTCGTCAATTAGCCATGCCCCTCTAGAGTGCCTCGAATCGCCTCTCGGGCCCCCCAAGATGAAAATCAATGTTTTGTGCTTTCTCGCCTTTTCGCTCTTGGAGCCGTCCTGGGCCATCTTGGACGCCTCAACGGCCCGCGGAACCCTCCGTCTAGGTCCAGGGGAGGGGGTAGGGGGAGGGGTAAACCCCTCCCCGAAGGGGAAGAAGGGCGTTGGAAGAGGAAACTCTCTAGACCACCAGCCCGAGCCAGGCAGGGTGGCCCCGCGCCGATGCAAGAATCTGGCGCAAAACTGTGAAAGTTCATGTGTATACCGGTCGCGGTTCCTCTGACGGCGCAGACCGTTGGTCGCACAACCCATCGGTTGACGCAGCCAAAGGGGCAACGTGCAGCGCGCCAAGTAGGCGGCACACGCCTCCTCGTTGCAGCGGGCTGCGCCCGAGCCGTGTTTGCCGCACGGGCTGGTGGCTGGGCCCAGGCGGCGAGCCGCATGTCGTGCCAAACGCAAGGAGCACCCGTCAGGGGTCGTCGGATCTGCCGTTGTGTAAGGAGGAGCCGTCTCTGGTGCTTTATTTCTTGGTCATGTGGCTCGTCATAACCGTGGCCCTCATGAACCTGGTTCTCCGACGCAGAAGTATGTGTATATATATATATATATATATACAGACATGCTCCCATAGATTGAGCCTGGGCCTCAGGGGAGGGTGGCGGTCTATAAGTCACAGCTGGGAGTCACCGCCACCCTCCCTGAAGGCACATGCAAAGTTCGTTGGAGGGCGTCTGTGTATACATTTTCGTGGCGTAGGTTACCGCTGTCATCCAGTTGCTTGCGGCAAAACCCGCCCTCGTGCCAACGCGGCAGTGGGGCAATCTAGCCAGGAGGGCGGATACAACACCGATTCGTGGGCCCAGGATGTGCCTCTGTTCCAGGCGTATCAGGCGTATGAGCCACTGCATCCCAGACGACTTCAAGAACTGGAGGGTCGTGTAGGCCCCTTCCTTGCAGGCAAGACAAAACAATTTGATTCATGGGTGTTCCTTTTTCGCATGACTCATCGAAAACTGCATCGACAAACATAATTATACGATCGCAGGGATGGCGCCACCGATTTCCCCCGACGGGCTCGGCGGAACCATGTTGCGGCAGAGTTGGTCGTTTTGGGTGGGTTATTGGAATCCTCGCGGTGGCACTGTCGGGGTGTTTGGAAGGCTTGGTTTGGACAAGTCAGCGGGCTTGGGGCCGTCTTAGGGGTGATGGTTTTATCGAGCGCCCTCCAAGCAGATCGATTTACCCATCTTGTGGCCGTCTCGGAAGGCCTCGGAGCCACCTTGGAATCTTCTTGTGGCGGTTTTGGGCCGTCATGGGAGGGAATTTCTGCGTCGTGGCGTTTTCGTGGGCCGTCTTGGAAGCTTCTTGGAGTTTGTTGAGGCATTGTCCATGCCGTCCTCGGCCGAACAGCTTCAGAAGCTTCCTAGAAGCACAGACACCCGTCGAGTGTTCAATTGCGTTTGGCCTCCACGGGCCTCGTTGTAGCCTCCTTTGGTCGCCTCTTGGAGGCTTCGGGCGGCTTCGCTGAGGCCTCCCGGGGCCAGTTTCATCGGAGCCCGAGGATGCCGCCGGTCCCTGGCTGGCACTGGTGCCGTTTGGCCAGATCTCCGAAGGCATCGCGGAGTTCTCCTCGGACGGTCGTGGCGCCTGTCAAAGGGGCCGAGGAGGAGGAGGAGGAGGAGGAGGAGGAGGATAAGGAGGAGGAGGAGGAGGAGGGAGGAGGAGGAGGAGGAGGAGGAGGAGGAGGAGGAGGAGGAGAGGAGGAGGGAGGAGAGGAGGAGGAGGAAGGGGAGGGAGGAGGGGGAGGAGGAGGAGGAGGAGGAGGAGGAGGAGGAGGAGGAGGAGGAGGAAGAGGAGGCGGAGGAGGAGGAGGAGGAGGAGGAGGAGGAGGAGGAGAAGGAGGAGGAGGAGGAGGAGGAGGAGGAGGAGGGGAGGGGGGGTTGCGAATTGCGCACCGCGAGGGGCGCGTGCAGCGAGGGAGGGTGCCGCGCCGTTGGCAAGGCAACGAGTGCCCCTACCACACAGCAGGGTGCATGTCGATCCGAGTCGAGGTGTGTCGTGGCCAGCCCGGTCCTTCGTCGATTCGGAGATGCCGACGACCCGATATTGCCCGATGTGAGCATGGCGTTCTCGTGCATCCTGGCAAGCCGATCTTCTTCGCTTTCGATTCCAGGCCGATGCTCAGAGGAGGAAAGGGTACCCATACCGCTACCCTTTGCTCGTTTTCCCTTTTTTAGGCCTCCTGAGAAGCCCTCGTCGCCACTGCTGGATGCGCCCCGAAATTCCGGTCAGAACGCACCCTGGGAAAGGTCCACCGAGTAGCGATATCCGTACCTTTTTGGTTTCCCCAGATGCGGCCCGTTCCGACGCACATTCTGCTCCGATCTGGTTCCCCAATTCGGTATCGGTTGATATTGCACAGTTGGCGGACAGTCCAACACGCCACAGCGGTGCGGAGGGCACGATGGCGGGTCGTCGAGAACGCCATGGCAAATGGCAGGGAGGATGCTGAGGAGATGCAGATCCATTTGCGAAGGAAATTGAGGAAGATCCTCCCTGAGATCGATGAAGTATTCGACGGGCTTGACACCAACGGCAACAACGCCCTGGAAATAGAAGAATTAATACAGGCGGCCGAAGACGGGGTGTTGACCTTCCCAGAAGACATCAAGTCTTACGTCGACCCGTCCAAGCTTCTTGACATATTCGATGTGTAGCGCTTTGCGCGAACACGACTGGACAGGCGTTTCCTGCGTAATGGTTCTTTCTCGCGTTTCTCGCCTGTACTTCCCCCGAAATCCTTTTCCCCGTCCCCCTCCCCAGTTGCCTCCTCGTCCTTGTTGTCCTCTGTCGTGTTATCGCCGTCTTCCTCTGCATTTGCCTCCTCCTCCTGCTCCTCCACCTCCTTTCAAGTCTTTATCCTCTCCGAATTCCCGCTTTCGCTTTGATCCATCTGGGCTTGCTTTTGCGTTGTTATGTGGGCGGCTCTTGGACATCTCTGGCCGAACAGTGTGGCTAGCAACATGGGCATTGAAGCACTTTGTAGTATATTTCAGTGGTTTCTTTGGGCCAAGTGGATTGGAAAACTACCATCCTGACGGCATGCCGTGGTTCCTGTTTGACGATTTTGGTGGCATCCCTGTGCCCCCCCCGTGGTGCCACGAGTCCGTTTGATCCTGCCCAAGACTCTCTTGTGTACCCTGGAGCCCCTCTCCAGCACCCGTGTCCTCCACCATCGGTTCCTCCTCGTCCTCCCCCTCGAGCCCAGCGCCTTCAGTTCCTGGCTTGGGCAAGTGTTTGGCGAGGCACAGGGGGGAGGAGGAGACGGACAGCGCCCACCAATTCAGCCCCAGTCGAAAATCGATCTCGCCCAGAAGAGTTTCTCGAAGAGGCAGAGGAAGTCTGAACTACTTCCAGAGGTCCGCGCGGATTTCTTGGGTCTGCGCTGGGTTTTCCTTGGCGGCGTCTCCGGCGCAACCCCCCGCGCACTCCCCGGGCCAGGGAGGGGGGCCTTTCGCCGGTCCAGTGCGTCCGCTCGGACCAGCGCAAGATCTGATGCTTTGTGCCTCGCTCTGTGATTCTAAGTTTCTCCCGCGCCGTAGCCCTGGGAGGGGCCGGCGAAGTTCCTGGACGCCAACCAGTCTGGAGTGATCGAGAGGCAGGAGTTCTTTGAGGGCATTTGCCACCTCGTGGTGTCCTCCGTGCCCCTGGAGACGACGCAGATCCTTCAGCTGGTGCGGAAGAGTCACGACATGCTCTCGGATCTGTCCAGAGCTTTCTTGAACAGCAGTGTTGCCCGGACGAATCCACCGGGATCAACCATAGACTGCTTGTGATGTTTTGAGGGTTGGCGCCCCAGGGGTGCCTGCAGGAAGAGGACGAATGACAGTCATTTGGAGGGGAGGAGGGGGAGCAGGAGGAGGCCAAGGGGATAATCGGCAATATGAGAATGACGAAGAGGAGCAGGATCAGGAGGTGAAGGGGAAGAGCGGCGGGAGGGGGGGAGGGAGGGAGGATTGGGGGAGGAGGAGGAGGAGGAGGAGGGCAGCAGGAAGAGAGCAGGAAGGAGGAGGAGGAGGAAGAGGAGGAAGGGGGAGGGGAGGAGCAGAGCAGGAGGAGGGGATGAGGGAGGAGGAGGAGGAGGAGGAGGAGAGGAATAGGAGGGGAGGAGGAGGAGGAGAGAGGAGGAGAGAAGGAGGAGGGGAGGAGGAGGAGCAGGAGGAGGAGGAGGAGGAGAGGAGGAGAGGAGGAGGTGGAGGTGGGAGGAGGAGGAGAGGAGAGGAGGAAGGGGAGGGGGGGGGGGGGAGGGAGGACGTCAGGGGCAGCGTTCGGGTTGGACAGGCTCAGGGGCAGCATCGGCCTCCAGTCACCCACTCGCTGCAGTGCTTGCCCGGCCCCGCTCACTCGGGGGTGGGGGGCCCTGTCGCCAAGCTGTCGGCGATGAGCCGCCGACAGGAGGACAGGAGGAGGAGGAGCAGGGAGGAGAGGAGGAGGAAGAGGCGGAGGAGGAGGAGGCGGAGGAGGAGGAGGCGGAGGAGGAGAAGGAGGAGGAGGAGGAAGAGGAGGAGGAGGAGGGGGAGGAGGAGGAGGAGGAGGAGGAGGAGAAGGGGATGGCGGGGAGGAGGGGGGGGCCCTCCTGCATCTCCTTCCACTCATCCCGTCACTTCCTGCACGCTTCAGCAGAGGGGAGGAGGAGGAGGAGGAGGAGGAGGAGGAGGAGGAGGAGGAGAAGGCAGCTGGCTCGAAGAAGCCACGAGTCCCCCCAGAGAGCGCAGCGGGCACAGCGCGGCAAGTTCCTCGTGCTCAGGCGCGGTAAGTCTCCTTGCTCGGGCGCGGCAAGAAAACTATACTTGTATATTGTCTGGAGCCCAGTCGTTGGGGTGCCATTCTAGACGCTTCGCGTATCCCCACCAGCCTCCGTAGCCCCCTCTGGCTCAAGGCCGTCTCTGGGCCCCAGCCCCCCTGGCCGGGTCTCCCAGCCCAAGGGGGCATCCATCCCCTAGGAGTCTGCGGGCCGCGCGCTGCCCCAAGGCCGCGTTCCGGCCATATCAGACTCCCTGGATCGCACCTCCCCCAGCGGCGCGGCGCGGCAGCCAGCCTGCCAGGTCAGGCTTAGCATGGATGGGAACCCGATCGGTGACAGATCTAGGATCCCTGGGAACCCTGCGGGTGAAGATGGAAGCCTAGTCGAGGGCCAGGGGGCCCACGTCCTGGCCGGTTCAAGCCCTCCTCCCCCTGGATCCCAGGATACCATCCCTCCAGGGCAGCCATCGCCCTTCGCTCCTTGGGACCCTCCGGGCTCGATCGTTTCGGTCGCGTCCGAGGATCCCGTGATCGTACCCGCCAACTCAGCAGACACACGAGAACAATCGGCCTTCAGCCGGACGGAAGTTGAGGGTGCCACGGTGAGCGCCGCGAGACACAGTGACACTGCGACCTTCAGTCGCTTCCCTGGGTTCGATGTTGACAGCAATGACGCTTTCCCGCCAGATCTGTTTCCCTCCCTTACCCCGACGCTTCCTCTGCCCCTCTCTGGGCGTCCAATCTCCTTCTCTCCTGGCGGTGAAGGGCAGGACTGGATCGCGCGCTGCGATGCCAGGACCACGGGGGGCCTCGGCCCCATTCCTGACGAAGAGCATCCCCCGAGAGGCTCCGGCCCTTTTGGGCCGCGCAGGAGCTCCCGCCAGGGAGGCGCTCTCGAAGATCGGCCCAGGAGCTTGACCGACGAAGGTGGACGGCATACGTTTGAGGCTGCCCAGGGGGGTGACTGCGGTGATGATGGGTGGGTGGACGGACCGCCGTCCGCTCACGTCCCCGATCCACATCCCATTGGCTCGCGCCCCCACTCCGCCGACCGCCCTCCCTTGGACGCTTCAATACAGAGAGGAGCAGCCTTCAGCTGCGTAGGGGCCGATCCTTTGACCGTGGAAGCCATCGTTCTGGACGCTCAGCCGACCCCTCCCGCTGATGTGAGCCGACGTCAAGACGGCCCCCGCCTTCCGCCCGCCAATTCCCCCGGTCACGACAGCGTTGTACACGCAGGAGACGGGCCTTCAGCCCGGGGAGCGCCGTGCGAGACAGCAGGAGTGGACGAGCCTGTAGCTCGGGATTCTCTAAATAGAGATGGGCGTTGACGGCGGCACGGCTGCCAATCAGCTCCCTGGCCACCCCTGTAATCCCGATGGCTCCCGTCCTGCATGCGCCCCCCAAGCTGACAGTCGCAGGCGGGACGAGCCTTCAGCTCGGGAGCCACAGGCGGGACGAGCCTTCAGCTCGAGTCTCCAAGGCGTATCTGACAGTTACAGAAGGGACGAGCCTTCAGCTCGAGAACCAGAGACGATGCCCATGGATGCCGAGAGCGCCGCAGAGACTGTGGCCATGAGTGGCGGCGGCATAGAGCCCCCAGCCATCCCTGGTGAAGCAACTCAGGGCCTCCCTCAGCAGGCGGACTCCCAGGCCGACGGCGGGCGCACGGCTGACACCGCCGACGTAGACATGGAAGCGCCAGGTTCCGCAACGGGGCCGACCCAGAGAAGACGCGTCGAGCATGGTGCGGCTGGCGCAGTCGGCGATGCAGGCGATTTAAGTGGCTGCCGCAATGACACCGCCGCCCCCCTCCCTGGAGACATGGGCGCCACGACGGCAGCAGCGCCCAGCCCCCATGTCGTTGACCTCACCGATGGGACTGGCCTTCAGCCAGGAAGAAATGGGCAGGAAACGGTTGGGGTGGACGCGCCGAGCATACGGAATGCTGCGCTCGACAGGGGTTGCAGAGCGGCGCGTCTCCCCACTGACAGCGCCGTAGCGAACGGCCACAGCCAATCCTCCCTGGTAGCGACGACGGCCGTATCCACGGGTCGACCCCGCACGTCCGACGCCAGCGCGGTCCCATCCGACCCTTCCCACGAAGTGGGCTCCCTGGTTGATCTGATCGATCGCATCGGACCCCCGATCGTCGCCGCTGGACCGCCCTGCGCCCCCCTGTCCCCGCCTACCCGCCCCCCTCCCATCCACTCCTCTCCTGGCCTCACCCCCTGGGTTAGAACATCCAGGCGCCATTCCGGGCGGTAGTGGCCATGGCCGCGAAGACCCGTCCCAAGGCGCGGGCCGTGGGCCCCTCATCAGGACTGCCAGCGGTTCTCCCTTCGTGTTGAGGCGCGCGGCTCCCAGAACGCCCAGTGCGCCCATCCCACTCCCTTTCCCTTCTCCAGACTTAGCCCTGGAGGAGGAACTTTGGATGGCGAGCCAGGATGCCCCCGCTGACGCGGAGGACGGCACCAGCCAGGCCCATAGAGAGAGGTTGCAGTACGCAACCGACCTGTATGCTCGATGCATGGACGCCACCGGACACGCGAACGCAGACTGGGCAGTCAGTCGAGAGACTGATGGGCCCATGTGTGGGCCGCGCGTCGCTGACCCTAGGGTCACAGGCAGGGGGGGCACCATGAATGCCCTCCGACGCCACCTAGTGCGCATTGACGGCCCCTGGCGTGAAATCCCCGATCGAGGGGCGCCTAGAACTGCCGACCAAACCAGTTATCTGGAGCTCCTCACCCACCAAGCGTGGAGGGGGCATCGCCCTGGTCATCCTGGTGCACGGGAAGGCAGCCCCCTGCGAGCGGCCCCAAGCGACGCTCTCCTCCCCGGGTCCGGATTTCAGCGAGCCACCTCTGCACCAGCCCTCGCCATCATGGACCTCTCCTGGCTGGTCTGGTCAGTCACGGGCGGAGACCGCGAAGGACGCCTAGGGGGTGCTCAACCTGATCCGACAGCACCTGCCTTCCGCTTCGCGAGTGTCACTCGCGACCCCTGTGTAAGGATGGAAAGACTGGACGCGGACGATCCCTCTGTGGTGGAAATGCAACTAGCACGTCTCGAGTACGCCGTCATGACGACCGCAGCACACCATTGCGACATCGGGATGGAGCCTCCGAGTGGTACGACACGAACAACATGCTCTTGCCCACCAGGCCTCCCCGTGATGTCGTGCCACCGCGCAGCAGCGGTCCCAACCGTCCAGGCGGCGCCCAGGACCCCATGGGCGACGAGACCAGGGCGTACGCGTACAGAGTCCTAATCCACGAGCGCAGGCAAAACATAGTTCATTTTCTGGACCACAGGGACATCAGACATTGGGCCACCACGAGGGGCAATCTCGAACGGGTTGGCGACGACGTACACTCGAGAAAACAAGCAGGTAGAGGCCCCGTGCCATGGGCAGAGCCAGCTCTAACATGAGTAACGGCCAGCACAACTGGCATCCCCGGGGTACCGATCCAAGGTGGCGACAGAAATGACAATGCGTGGCCCTGGTCCACCACGGCGCACCGCCTGCTGCTACGGGATTTCTTTTGCCCGACACAACGGCGCGACCTCTGCGGATCGTGGGTGCTTCGAGGCCCGGCGGGCCGACAGTGCATCACCTGCCAGAGGTTGGCCAACCCGTGGAGCTACAGCGAAAGCGAGCAGCAGTCGTGCGACCCCCACCAGGTTCACCCCCGCGCGGAAACAGGCCAGCCACTCAACAGGCACGCCCTCGACCTCCTTGATACCACCCTGCAACTTCAGCTGGTCAGGGCTGGCATGCGATACGCCCCAATCGCAGAGCATCTTTACTTTCCAGCTCAGCCGGGCCCCACGGATTTCACCCCGACCTGGCTCGTGGGCGTGCTTCTGGGAGCCTGGAGGCGCGTGGCGTCCCAACCCGACACCTGGGCCAGCTGCGGTTTCTTCGACAGAGCGGACCTTGGAGATGAGATGCACCTGCGCCCAGCAGTGGCCACCCTGGCGCTGCTTTGCTCCGCGCCAGAGTCCTGGGCCCTTGAGGCCTGCTTAGGAGTACGCCGAATCCTTAGAACGTGCCCCGATAGGCGGCTTGGCGGATGGTCCCCACCGCAGCTCTATCGCGAAGATCCAATCGCGCACCCACCACCGCACTGGAGGGGCCCCCCAATGAACAGGCCAACCACGACGATCACCATCGGACCGAACACAGTGGTGGACCTGGACGATCTGACCTGGCTAAACAACACCATTGGCGGCGACTACCTCGACCAGGCAAATGAGCGATACCCGAAACGACGTAGACTGGAGTAGGCGTTGGTGGCACGCCAGGGACAGCCCCCACGCTTAGGCAGCTGAGGTCATGAGGGGTGCGCTACAGGCCGCAGCCCGCACCGATTGGCGCCCGCTACATGCCCAAGTGGGACAACGACCCCCCCTGGGAAACCTCGTTACAGATGCCGTCATCCGACGCCTAGATGCAGACAGCTCGGCTCGAGATCACACACGTGCGGACCGACCCAGTGGCGGAGGCGCTCCCATGGGCGTGGGCGGCCCCGGGGATGGCGGGAGAAGCTCTAGTAGCGGAGGTGGAAGCAGAGGAACAGCCCTAAACAGGCCCCCCCCCCTGATCCCGCGCAAGGCCTCTCCCCCGCTAAAATAGCCCAACGAGGAGCTTTTGTCGACGAGGTCCACCGAATCAGAAGAATGGTGGCCAGCAACACCGTCACCCCAGGCATGCAGTGGAGCCGGATCCTGGTTCCTTTCATCTGGGGCACTGCCACGAGCAGGGGTCGCACCGTCCTCGAGCAGGCGTCTAGGTCCACCAATATCAATGCCAACATCATCGACCGGGCAGCCGCATGGTGGAGAGCGCGAGACGTCCTGTCATAGAGGGACGCCCAGGTAGTCCTTGCTGCAGAGGCAGACACCCTCTCCAGGGCCATTGGATCCACATTTGATGCGCCCGAAGCGGCCAGTTATATCGCGCCACGGCTTCAGGAGTGGATGATGGAGCACCTAGACGCGAGTGGCTCCCTCCAG